GCAAAGGGTTTGAGCCAGGTTCCTACCATGGATCATTTGCACAGAAGGATGTCCCAAGCTGCAGGAGCAAAGGAAAATGGACAATAGCCAAGCTAATCCAAGAGGGAGAGGATTAGAAGATCTCTATCTGCCTCTGGGCTGGTCACCCCATCCCTTAATGTCATTTTTCTTTGTCTTTATTTCAGGCTGGGACCTTTGACCTCACTAATCACATCAGGCCAAGTCATAAATTAACTGAGGCCTCCCTTTGCCTCACCTCCAGCTCCCTTCCCAACTTGGGTGACAACGCCAAGCAGATAAAGCAGCACCTCCTCTGCCTCTACTAACTGTTCCCACAGAGGTACAGCCTCCCAAAGGAAATTCAGGCAGCAATCTCATCAATAAATCTGCACATTACAGATTTCTTTCAGTGCACCCTCTTGCCCATGACACTCTTTTCTTTCACTGCTCCAAAATATTTCTTACTTTTCTAAAAATCTAAAAGTTTTTTATGTTTAACTTTATCCTACAGCAAAAACAGCATATTTCCCTCCCTGATCAGGCACCAGTGGCCCCTGCTGGGCACCTCTGTTATTCCAGACAACAAACAGTAAATAAATACTACACAAATACATAGAGAAACTTGTGTTCTCCATTTCTGCTTTTACAAGGTTTTCCCTTTCTGGATAACATTTGGAAAAGCCATATCCCACCCATGGGAAACTGCAATACCCTGGAGATTTCAAGTTTCAGAAGCTTCACTTCTGTCTGCAATCATGTTTGAGAACTTGACTGACAAGGACAAACTCCAGAAAACAAACAAAACACCCAAAGCAAAGATTGTTTCAAGGATGAAATTGTAAGAAAGAAAGAAAGAACAGAATTTTTAGAAACAGGTGGAATCCTCCTCACAGAGATGTTTGAACTAAGAGGCCCCCAAGGAAGAACTTGTTATTTCAGCAGAAGGTAGAGTGAGCACTCCCCAAAACCAGGGCAACTCCAACTTCACCAAGAGCTTCACTCACCCCAGGGATTTTCAGCAATTCTGCCACCAGCAGGGGCAGCTTGAGGGCAGCCACACTTCCAGTCACTCCCAGCAGCACGTGGAACTTTTCCTGTGCCACAGATGAGCTGTTTCCTGCAGGAATGCCTGGCTCTGGCAGGGAGATGGGCTCCATGCTCCAATCCAGCTGTGCAGGCACAGGGAAACAAAGACACTGGGCTAACACAGCTCCAACCCCAACACATTCCCAAAAAGGGGGATCTCACCTGGACTCTGCAGGACCCACAAAGATGGGATGGCTCTGGGTCACCCCCAAATGTCACCCATCCCACAGGGATTACAGAACTTTAAGGGCAGCTCAATGTTTAATTACATTTTTCTCTCAGATACTGGGAAACAGACTCCTAAAACTTAAGCAGAGAGGCCACAAAAGCGCATTGATAAAGTTCATGCCCTCCAAAATTAAAACTCCCACATGCTGAATTTAGGGCAGATAAATAAATCAATTTGGGATAAAATTTTACACCAGGTTCTCTAAAGGCAAACAAACCCCTGCTGAGATGCTTTCCCTCTGCACTCTCTGGTGATTAATAAATGCACAGAGATGTCTTAATAATTAAAAATGTGGGGCCTCACTGCATGCAAAACCATCTTTTGTTTCCCACTGTGTCCCTAAATATTAACAGCAGCACTAGAAATAATTCTCTAGCAGCTGTAATTCAGCTCTGCTGCTTCCTCCTGGCCTCCCCATGCTGCTGCCACACTGATAAAAACCAGAAATTAATGTTTTGGTGAGGAAAATGACACAAGTATCTCAAATATAATCAATTAATGATTAAGCAGCAAAGAGCAAATTCAGTTCTTGAAAAATCACTGCATCCAGTAAAGTTTGTTCCATTTTAGTGATGTCCTTGTTGTTCAAACTGTTTGGAATCACTTTGGGTGGAAAGAAGAAGATGGACACAGGCTGTCCTGATTTTTGGGAGCAATTTGGAGGTTGGAGAGAGGAATTTCACAGCCTGGTTTGGGTTGGAAGGGAAATTAAAGTGACCAAACCCCATCCCCTGCCATGGGTAGGGACACCTAAAACCCCAATTTATCTTTGCTGATTAGCAGGGGTAATTAAGAGGTGGCAGGACATTGGCTGAGAGATTTTAATGCCACCACCACGCTTCACATATTTATCGACATCTAACTAAAATCAGATTATTATTATTTATAAATAATTTAAATTATTATTTAAAGCATCCCTAGGATGTTCTCAAAACATCCACAATTAATTCCACCAAAGCATCCACAACTTAAGAGGTGAGGAAATGTAGCAGGACATTGGCTGAGAGATTTTAATGCTACCATCATGCTTTGCATATTTATCTATATCTAATTAAAATCAGATTATTATTGTGATTATTTACAAATAATTAAAATTATTATCTATTTAAAGCACCCTTAGGATGTTTCCAATTAATTCCACTGAAGCATCTACAAATTAAGGCCTGGGTATTAAAAAGTAAATTTTTAAGTAGGAAACTTTCAAAATGCTTACAAAGTAATGATAAAAAGAATAAAAATGATAAAATTATAGAACAATTATTAAAATGGTAAAATAATGATAAATACGGTAAAACAACGGTAAAAAGTGAAAATTTTAAATGGTACAAATGTAAAAATAGCGGCAAAAATAGCAAAATAGTGGTAAAAATATAAAATAACGGCAAAATATTATAGTAAAAGCTGTATGTATAATAATATACGTAACATAACGCTAAAAAAAAGTGCTGGGGCGCGGTTTCCTCTTACCCAAACACACCTGTGGAGAAGCAGCCACCAGAAAACAAGCTATTTACAGGCCTTAAGGGTTCATTAAATCGACTTTTAATGCGGTAGCGGTGCTGAAAAAGGCTCCAAAAGGCCGCACACCGGCACCGAGAACCCGCGGGGGCCCCCAGAAGGGGACAAACAGCGCCCCGACACCGCTCCGGGCAGGGCCGGGAGGGCCGTGAGGGGAGCGGGGCCGTGAGGGCAGCGGGAGGACCGGAACTGCGGGGTGCCGGGAACCGGGGCACACACGGCGCTGATTGGTGCGCGCTGCTCCCGCCCTCGGCGCTGACTGGTGCGCGCTACTCCGCCCTCAGCGCTGATTGGTGCGCGCTGCTCCCTCCCTCAGCGCTGATTGGTGCGCGCTGCTCCCGCCCTCAGCGCTGATTGGTGCGCGCTGCTCCTGCCCTCGCCGCTGATTGGTGCGGACAGCGCGCGCGGCCAGCGGGAGGAAGGGGTGTCATGGCGGCCCCTCACGGCCCCGTCCCGATTTATGGCGGCTGTGCTGCCACCCGGGAGGGTTCTGTGCCACTCTGTGTCCCAGTGGTGCCCACGCGGCGGATCTCGCCAAGGGCAAGCGGGTGGCTTCAGGCTGCTCAGGAAGCAGTCTTAACTGGGACTGTGGCTCGGTTTTGGAATGGAACAAAAGCCAAAGAAACTCGGTGTAGAAGGCGTGTGGGGAACGGGGTAGAGGACAGGGTCTGAGGGCCCCTCAAGTGAAAGAGGTGATATCTGAGCTTGGCAAGTGCTAGAGATCAGGAGTGAAACCTTTCCTATGGGATTCAGGGCAGCCACACAGAGCTGGCAGGGGAAAGTGGATTAAAGGACCGAGTGTTCATTGTCTGATGCACAGACAGGATGAGGGGAATGGCTTCCCATGCCAGAGGGCAGGGTTGGGTGGGATACTGGGAAGGAATTGTGCCCTGGCAGAGGGTGCCCTGTGGCTGCCCATGGATCCCTGAAGTGTCCAGGGCCAGGCTGGACGGGGCTTGGAGCAGCCTGGGACAGTGGAAGGTGTCGCTGCTGGAGGAGCTGTAAGGTCCCTTCCCACCCAAAACATCCATGATTCTGTGGGCACGACAGATCTGGGGCAGCCCGTGGTGCCCAGCCCTGTGCAGATCCAGCTCAAAAGCAGCACTTATTTGGACATCCCTCTGATATTGGCTATGAACAAGCAGCAAGGCCAGCAAGAGGCAGAGAGAGCTGTGCTCTGCAGGACGTGGAAGGTGACAGGGACACCTCAGGATAAGCCCAGGTGTGTTCTATGAGAAGCCTCTTGCTCAGCAGCACGAACAGCCCATCTCTCCCACCCTGTGGGCTTCAGGAGCACCACACTTTGATCACACCCACATCAGCCCCATCTGGAGCAGGGACAGCTTACAAATAACCGAGGTGAGAACGAGGGGTCAAGTTTCCCACCAAGCTGGAGCCACGGGGGCCACGTTTCAGCACTCACACACTCAGGAGACACATCGGAGAGGAGGGTTAGGTGCTGAAGCAATGTCTGTTAGTTACAGCTCGTTACAGTTATTATTGATGCATCTTATTGTCAATGCAAGAGGTGAAGTCACTTAATCCATCATTTCTCAGACACGGATGACAGAGCACGTGGTTTGGCAGAGTAAGTTTTAGGCGAGCTAGAAATGGATTGCACAATATTTAAACCTGATTAAGTACATAATAGGCTTAGCAAAGGATTACTTTTCTCCTGACATTTTATACATAAATATATACACACACACACACACACACACACACAGAGACAGGCATTTTATCAGTAGCTGCATTTTAGTCTGGTCAAGAGACGACTGCCTATTGCAGAATGACTGGAGTGACACCCTTAAAAAGGAAACTAGTCTTGGTGTGCTTTGCTGGAGAAGAGAAGGTCCTTTTTGGGGTGATTCTCAGGGGTAGGGGTCACATCCAAGCATCACTGGAGGGGACAGATATGGGGCTGGGGACTCGCACAGTCCTGGCTGGTGGCACACTGAGGTCCTTCCCTGTGCCAGGCAGGAAATACTGGAGCCACAGTGCTGGATTGGATTCTGTTTGGGCTGCTTTTCGAGGACTTGGAGAAAAATTTGGCTTATTTAAAGTGCATTTAGAGTTGAAAAGCATCTCAGAGAAGTAGCTTTTCCTACTCCTGCCCTGCAGCATCCATCCCATTTATGTTCCCACTCATAATCTTTTCCAGGGTGTGCCAGTCACCTTCCCCAAGAAGTGTTGGTCTGAGCTCAGCTGCCTCCTGCTAGGGTGCAGGATCATTATTTAATGTCAAACATCCCCAAATTGGGCGGGGATTCAGGCCTGACAGGGATTTCTGCACCAGGAAAACACAGGGCCACATCTCACTCACCATGCTTTTCAGGAGTGCAAGTGAGCAGGAGTCCTTCCCTCCAGCCTGGAGGTTTCCTTAAGAGACTTAAATTAGCACAAACCTCTAAAGCTAACGGGGACAAACCTTGGCCTGGCTATTTCCATGAGCAGGGAGACTGCTTGGATGTGCTGGGATTCGGGGTGGCAAGATTTGACCCGCAGCCTTGCCCAAGTGTCAGTCCTCTGAGGAACGCTCTGTGGCTTTTACAGCTGCTTTTCAGAACAGAAGCCTTTCAAAAGAACAGACTCAGGATGCAGAATCTGGAATGGGATGGTTGTAGCCCACAGGGAAAACCTGTCCTTGCTTCCCAACACACACACACGTGCACGCACACACACTGGTCCTCCACGTTGAAGTGTAAACTACTCACAACACCACACACTGAGAGAAGTTGTAGATCCTGAGCCAGGGTGTAGATTAGGAATCTCTTGGCTTCCAGCATATCAACAGCAGGATTGAGGGTTTCTTATATTTTTTTCCCTTTTTTTTTTCCTTTTTTTTTTTTTAAATCCTAAATCAGCCAGCCACCTGCTAGTTAAAAAGCAAAAGAAAAAAAGGAGAATTCCCAGGATTGCTTGCCCTTGCTGAGACAGTGGCAAGTGGCTGGACACTACCAACTGAAAGAGAAAACTCACACACGTCAAAAACCCAAGGTCTGGGGCTTATTCCAAGAGGGAAGATGGGTGCTGGTTGCTCTTTTTCCCTTTTTGGGGACATGGGGGGGCTTTTGGCTGATGAGGTTCTAACATACACCTATCACCACAGTAATTAAAAAACCATCACCATACACTATTCCACAGGGAAAAAGAAGACACGTGAACGGACACTGACTACCACGCACAACAAGAGCCCTGCAGGTCAACTCACGGCCTCTTCAGAACGAAAAAGAAAGGAGAAAAGAAGAGCTCAAGACAAGAAAAACAGGGAAAAAAAAAAAAAAAAAAGAAAGAAAAAAAAATCCCAAAGGATCTTGTTACAAAGACGGGAAAAGAACCACCATTATGGTACACTCTGACTTGCTGAGACAGCTGCAGAAACTCAGGCTCAGGCTTCCTCCTCCCTTTTTTTCCCCCCCCAGCTCTTCCTCCCGAGGACAGAGTCCCGCTGCTGCTCACATCTCGTTGGAGTAGGTGTAGTTGGGGGTGGCCGAGTACTGCGTCTCGTGCTGCATCATGGCGCCCTGCGCCGCCCCCATGGCCGCGTTCTGCGCCGCCTGCTGCACGTGGGGGTTCTTCCAGGCCCCCGTGGTCCACTCCTCCTGCGCTTTGCTGAAGCTCCCGCCGCTGCCCCGGTAAAATTTGTGCACCTGCAAGGAAAATCCAGAAAAATCCGAGCGCCTGCGGCCGGCACGGAGCTCCCAAGATGGCGGGAGGGCCACCCAAAGGCACGTGGAACCGCTGTTCTTCCTGCCATACCATGGTGAGAGCGATGAAGGAGAAGACTGCCATGGCTGTGAAGAGCATGGTGGGGATCAGCATCACCACAGCCGAGCCCACATTGGTCCCAAAGAAGGAAATCGCTGCAATCCAGCCACTGCAAGGAGATGGAAACAATTGGTTCATTCACCAGCTCTCCCAGACTGTCAGCAGCCCTCCCAGCTCCTCAAACCATCTTCACTAAGGAGAGAACCAGTAAGGAAGCTAAAACACCACAGTGACCACCCTTGTACCCAACAGAGCAGCATTTTCCTTACCAGACCCCCCATCCAGGGATCCCCACTGCCTGGATAATGCTGATCACCAGCTGGGCCATGAAGGTGAAGAAGAAGGCCATGAAGCTGAAGGAACTGTCTGTCCTGCAAGAGAAGGTTCAGTCACTCCTGCACCTCCATCCCCATTGCACTCCAAGGGAAGGGAGATGCTTCAACATATCAGACCTGGCTGTGGTTTAGCAGGAAGGTGATGGAAAGAAAAATTAAAGGCAAAGGAGAAACTGCAAGAGGCTGGAGGTGGCCAAGGGGCACCTGGGAAAGCCACCAGACCTTCCCTATGGCTCAGTCAGCTGGGCTTGAGGACATCTGTGTTGGGACATGGCTTGAGGACATCTCTGCTGGGACACGACTCTCAGCTCACACCACCCCACATGGGGAATAAATACACCCCTAGTTCTCCAGATCTGGGGACTGACCTCAGCACCATGGGTAATCTGTACAAACACCTCGAGGATTTGTGGAAAAATATAAGAGATGTCTCAGGGATGAGAGGGAAAGTGGCACCCCAGCTGCATCCTCACCACTGTCCCCCACCACTGCACAGAGGCACAAGGAAAGTGTCCTTACATCACCTGATGGGGGATTTGGCCCCCAGGAAATCCCAAACACTCTGGTTTTGAAGGTTAGAAAGTAAAGCTAAAGGGCTGCACAGAAAGGAATTCCCCCAGTTAGTCAGGCAACGCCCCAAGCTAAACACTGACCGTTTATGAAGGAAAACAATGCAGAAAGAAGCCAGGCTCAGGTGCAACCACTTACTTGAAAGCTTTGTAAATAGGTCTAAACCAGCAGACATAGGAGCAGGGCGTAAAGAGAATGAGCCAGAGAATTGCCAGTCCAAAATTTACAGCTCCGCCGCCTCCAATGAGCCACGCGAGGCAGCCCACGAGATTCACCGCCAGGGTGATGCTGTTCACTGCAAACACACACACACACACAGAGCAGAGTAGCACGGATGCAAGGGTGGCACTGAGACACCAAGGACCCCGACCCCAGGGATGTGGCCTCAGAGTTGTGTCCTAGCTGAACTTCCCTTAAATTAAGCTGGGAGCACATTCCCAGGCTGGCTGGGCGGAGGGGGGTCAGGCCTCAGCTGAGTGTAACAGGAGGAAAATCAATGTATCACTCAGAGTTCATTCCCTAAGCAGTTCCTGGGCTCTGAAGATCGGCAGGAGTCGCATCCTCCCACTCCTATTGAGCCAGGACACATTTCCACTAACAGAAGGAGGAAAATTGTGGTGAAGTTTTTTGCTTGCTCCAGATACATCTTTGCTGAAGGAGCTTGTGCAGGAGCTCCCCGAGCACCGCTGAGAGCCAAAATCCTGAACTCCTGACCCTGCCTCTCCAGTTCAGGGGGTGACACATTTCCCTCGCCCACCCCTGCTTGGGATCAGGCCACACAAGGGCTCTGACTATGAGTCCCAGCTCAGCAGACACAGGACAAAGCAGAGAGGGCTCAGCTGCATTCTGACGCCTCCGAGTTGGGAGAATGATTCATTATTTCGACGAGAACGAGAGCCCTCCCACCACCGCCTGCCTGAGAGCTGCAGCTGGCAAGGCAAGGAGCTCAGCTGCCCCAAAGGACATGAGGGACCTTCCAGCCACGCTGTGCTGAGTGTCTGAGGGGCTGCTGGGGAGAAAATGACCCAGAGAGGAGCTCCAGAGGCAAAACCCAAGGGACAGTGACTGGCTCTAATGCTCAGGAGCAAGGACCAATCTCTGCTACATTAAGAGGAAGAACATCCTGTTTGGGATGGGGAGGGAACTGAACACCCCCAAGGGAAGCACAGCTTTTTTCCTCCTATGCCTTAAACAAGCAAACCCTCCTGACATGATGAAGCCACCCCAGGGTCACCCTCCTGATGGGACACCGCCCCATGGCTGCCAGCCTGGTGCCATGGCAGAAGCAGGTACACACCACAACCTCTGTGGTGTTAGCTCAGCTCTTCCTAACCTGCCCCTAAAGCACACGGCACTCCCTGGGCAATGGTGCTTCCAAAGTTCAGGGGAAATGCCTGATAAGGAACTGAGTTCTAGAAAGAAATTAAATGCTGGTGCCAACTTGCCCTGAGCTGTGCACGTTTCCACCTATGCTGGGGTGTGACCTGTCCCTCTGGCTCTGTTCCCTGGCCATGTTTGGAGAAGAAGAGAGATCCAGGATAGCTGGAAGAGCTGGAAGCTGGTGACAGCTCTGTTAGCACAGCACGGCACACAGAGGCATGCAAGAGGAACGGGCAAGCTCCGGGAAGCCTCCAGCTCCACGTTTTGGGGAGCAGGCACACCAGCCCTCCAGTCTGAGCTGTCTCCTCCTTACAGCAGGACATCAACAGCACCACCAGTGACCCTGGGACACCGAGCCAGCTGCACAGCTCCATCCTGGAAGCTGGAAGAGCTGGGATCCATGGGATGCTGCAGCCCACCTCTCATTCCTGACTTTTAACAGGAGACACCAAGGCCTGGAGAGGGAGAAGGGCTTCTCCTGACCTTGCCCTGCCCTTTCAGCTGGCAGCTCCCAGAGGAGCAGCCTTTGGAGAGGCAAACAGATCCCACTGGAGCCATTCCCACGGGGCCACTCACGCATCCAGAGGTAGTAAAGCCGCTTGGCCATGGTCCGGTGCTGCGGCGGGATCTCCGCATCGAAGTCCTGGTAGAAACATGGCTTCAGGGGGATGAACTTGGGCAGGGGAGGGAAGTTGTTCACTTTTTCTGCAAGGAAAAGTTTCACTGGTGTCAGGCTGAACAAAAAACAAGAGGCTTCCTAAATAACCCCAAGAACAGTCAGATTTTACACAGGAGTTAAGATTTTACACCAACCCACCCTAAAGGATCAAATTCAGCCCTCACTGGGCACACAGATCCTGCAGCCATGGACACCCACCACCCCACTGGTGACCAACAAGGTGACATTATGGCCAGTAGAGGCCACAATGATCTCCAGAACCCCCCGTACCTGCCATGCTGGCACACGCTCAGCCTCTCTGCTCCTCAGGGAAAAATACTTGGGAAAAACGTGGGAGCTTTAGCAAAGCTGGAGAATGAGAGAAAAAAAGCTTGATTGAAGTGGTCAGGGACGTCTGCAAAAGCCTTCACCTTCCCCCCCATTCCCAAACAACTCAAGGACAGCAGTTGGCTTCACTTGTGTGACACTCTGGACTATCACACATGCAGGCTGGCACCTGGCTGGCAGCGTGATAAATCCTGGCTCCTCTGGCTCAGGCTTATGTGCCAGTTAAGGCAGAAGATTACGAGAGGATCCAGTGATGTGGGGCCTCCCACTCCCAACTGACCTACATCCAGGAGAGGGCCAGGTAGGGCAGCAGGGAAAGGAGGTGGTTGTGGGCAGTTTGAAACCTTAAAGTTCATGACCTGCTCCCAAAATAATTCTTTAAAAAAATGTAGTATTGTTGTTTTTTGCTGAATTCCAGCACAGGGTGCTACCTGGCTGCCTCATAGCTGCCATCTCTGCAAGCCCAAGCCAAAAACAAGGCCAAAAAGGGAGCAGAAAATCAGAGCAGAGAAACCAGCTGGAAAAAAAAAATAAATCAGTGGCGATTGTCACTAATGAGTCACTTGAGTGCCTGGCTTAACAATTACTCATGTCATTTGGCACCTCATTCCAAAGCATGCAGGTGAGAAAGGGGGGGAGCTCAACATCCCAGGACCATCCCAGACCATTCCACGCTTAGCTCTGTGCCAGATGTGAAAATTACGGCGAATTAAAGCGAAAAAATAATACCTAAGGTTTTAAAGAGAAGGGTGAAGATGGCGTATCCCCACCTGCCTGCAGGTTTTGCCCTTTCCCAGCTATCCAGGCAGCGACCAACACATTTCCCAGGACACGGGGTCGCGGCTGTTCGTACCTGGGGCTCCCGGGGGGATTTGGGGGGCTCTCTCTAGGGTCTATTGACACCCCCCAGGGCTCGCCGTGCCCGACATCCGCCGGCAGCCCCCGGATGGATGCTTCCATCCATCCATCCCGCCGGTGCTATAAATACGAGCTCCTCGGGCGCGGTGACGTCCGCCCGCCCGGCCGCCCCTACCCACGTGTGGCGGGAGCGGGGACACACGGCCCGGCACCCCCCGGCCCCGCCACCGCGGGGGAAAGCACCGCCACAGCGATACATCGGGTGGGGTTTTATGGAAAATGAGGAATATGGTGGAGCGGATGGAAAAAGGACGGGGGATCGCACAGGGGATGGCACCGAGGAGAAACCGCTCTGATGCGCGGGGCGCGTTTGGGGAGGGCAGGCAGGGCTCGGCATCGCTGCCCCTGCGTTTCCACGCGTGAAGGGCTGCGTGCCCCACGCATCCCCACCTCACAGCCGGCGCAGCCTCCCAGCGGCGGCCTGCATCGGGGAGAAGGGCGGCCCAAGCCCCGCTCGGCCCCCGGTGCACCCACGCGTGTGCAGGGTCACCGCGGCTGTCCCCACGCCGCGCATCTCCCCCCGCAAGCGGATGCAGAGCGGGAGGTCGGTGCAAAGGGCGGTCAGCCCCCTCGCGGGGGAGCATCCAGCGCCCTCACACCGAGGCGTTTCCCCTCTCCACACTCCCGGGACTCACCACGTGGCGTGACCCGTCCCGTCCCCTCCGGTCCCCGGCGGGTGGCGGCGGCCGCCCGCCCGCCCGGTGCTGCTCCTGCCGCAGCGACCGCGCTCTCGCGAGACTGCGGCGCCGCCGCCACCCGGCCTATGGGCAGCGCCGGGATCTCGCGAGAGCGCCCGCCGCTGTCCAGGGTCCTGATGCCGCCGGATGGAGGGGCGGGGCCATGGGGAAAGGGCGGGGCCGAGGGAAGGGGGCGGGGCCTTTATGGGGGGGTCTATAGGGCTGGCGGTTCCATGGGGCTGGGAGTGCTGTGTTGGGTTTGGGGGGCTCCATGGGGCTGGGAATGCTCTGTGGGGCTTGGGGGGCTCCATGGGGCTGAGAGTGCTCTATGGGGTTTGGGGGGGCTCCATGGGGCTGTGAGTGCTCTGTGGTGCTTGGAGGGCTCCATAGGACTGGGGGTTCTATAGGGCTGGGAGTGCTCTATGGGGATTTGGGGGCTCTATAGGGCTAGGGGCTCCATGAGGCTGGGAATACTCTATGGGATTTGAGGGGCTCCATGAGGCCAGGAGTGCTCTGTGGAGCTTAGGGGATTTTATAGGGCTGGGAGCTCCATGGGGCTGGGGGCTCCATGGGGCTGGGAGTGTTCTATGGAGCCTGGTAAGCTTTACAGGAATGGGAGCTCTATAGGGCTGAGAGTAGTCTATGGGGCTAGGGAGGCTTTATAGGGATGTGGGCTCTGTGGGGCAGGGGTGCGGTGACCCCTACCCAGGGTATGGCAAGCACTGTGTGGGTAGAAGACCACCCTCAGAAGGGCAGGGGCTCTTGGGGACAGCCCCTGGCAGGGCACACAGGCTCCCTCTATCCAGGAGGCAATGGGAAACCAGCAGCTCCCCCCAGCAGGGCCAGTTTTGGGGTACTCCATATCCATACCCTGATGTGCTTCATTCTGGGAGCAGTAATTAATGAATGGCTTGCATGAAGGGCAGAGGACATGTTAATTGCTTTTGCCAGTGATGCCAAGGTTGGGAATGTGGAGGGCAGGGGAAGGTACTGGACTGATTTATAGACAGGACAGGGATATAAATCCCAAATCAGTCTGAGATTTGGGATTTATACCACAGGCTGTGTCCCTTGTTCTCAGCGCACACCACTTGGCCCTCCTGCCTTAGAGCTTGTGAGAATATCAGTGAAATGTGAAAATGGCTTTATTTGACAGCTAAATCATCCTCCCTTCCCGGGGTCCAGCCTCTAGGGTCACAGAGGGGCAGCAAGGACAACATCCCACCAGGGGGAGATGAGAACAGCTGGGCAAGGAAGCAGCAAAATCTCTTTCCACCAGTGAGCCCTGGTGGCCAAACCCCTTCAGCAGGGGAACAGCGTTGCTGTGGGGATGCAAGGAAGGAAACCTGGCAGAATCAGGGAGAATGCCTTCTTCACAGATGGTAAAATAGAGGGAAGCAGGAAAACCAGCGTGCCACAGATGACCCCATAGCAGGGGGCCCAGCTGTCCGCTCTGAGCCCTCTCTGGGTCTTGGAGCCTGAGCTGATCCCCTCAGAGAGCAGGGACCCCAGCAGCAGGGAAGGAAAGGGGGCAGTGATGGGATCATGGATTCCCACTCCTGCCAAGCACTGGGGATGCTCAGTGCCTTGGAGAGCTGCTCTGGCTCTGCCTCTGGGCACTGAGCACACTGGAGATTTGGGGCTGGATTCTTGTCCTTTATTGCTTTCTCTCCAAGCTTTCTGACACCTAAATTTCCTCCCCACCTGCATCTCTGCTGCCTCAGCACCTTCCCATGCCACTGAGGCTTTGGGAATGGTCACCTACAGAGCTGATCCTTGCCCTTGGCACTACCACATTCCTGTTTGCCAGCAGATTTTCCAGTCAGGGATATTCAGGAATCAAATGGATGTGTGCTCCCCTCCTTCCCAGGGAATGAATGCCTGGAGAGCCAAAGGATAACAGGGGGAAAAGCCTCCCTGCCCATCCCACACTCCCTAAGCAGGGCAGGCTGGGGAGGAAGGGCAGGGCCAAAGAAAAGGCTGGATCAAGCAGCAAATTCCCAGCAAGAAAACAGGTTCAAAACCAAGGAAATCAATCCACAGGTCCAGTTTAGGGTCAGTCTGTTGGAGTCCAGAGCAGCTGCAGCTGACCCAGAGACCAGTCCTGACATAGCTGACACTAGGACTGAGACCCCTGGGTTGGGCGTAAAAAGAGCTCCTGGGCCATGGGTGGGGCGGAATTGGGGGGCCAGGTGGGGTTGGTGAGGAACATTCAGGTTTATTAATGCCCTCAGGGTCCTTAAAACATCCCTCTGCTTATCATGCTGGAGCTCTGCAAAGGGATTTGTCTTATGAAAGGGATTTTTCCCTTTTCTTTTACTGTCGGGCTATTCAAAATGAGGATTATCTTGAGCTCTGTAATTTTCTGCTTACGGTAGGGATAAGACCTCAGCACAGAGCTGGTGCCACCCCAGGATGCTCCAAGGGTTCCTCTGGCATCTTGGCACAGCCCTGCACCCTGGGGTGCATCCTCAGGGTGCTGCTCCTGGGAAGCAGCAGCTCCAGGACCCTGATTGGGATGGGGACAGGGCATCCCTGCAGCTGTGCCATCCTGGAGGTCCCTCTGCACCCCTTTTGCCAGGGTGACAATCCACGCTGGCATCAGCCTGCTGCTGAGTGCAACGTGATGAGAGGCTGAGACCTGAGCCGTGCCGATGTGACGCAGAGATGGGCGATGGCACCCAGACTTTCCTTGTATCGGATGCTCCCACTTTCCGTCCTCTTCCCAAGCACGGCCACCTTGCATGAAAGAAAATATGGAGAGGGCAGGTGGAGGACAGGGGCTCAGGTTACTGCTCCTCTCCAGATGCCCTGATCTCTGTTAGGAATATGTTTCTGGGGGTTTTTTCCCCATTTTCCCAGGTTTGTCTGGGCTCTGTGCTGTGTCCAGCAGTCCTCTCCATTCTTGACGCCACCAGCTCTCCTCTTGGCTCTTCCAAGCTCACACCTCCTGTGGGGTTGGGACCAGGCAAGAGGGTCTCACAGGAATTTGGAAATCCTCTGGCATGGGGTTGGGATGGCACTGGAATGCTCAGAGAGAAACTGTAATGGGAAAGGGGAAGCAGAAACCACTCCCTGGGGGTGGGTCCTACTGTAACCACAGTGGCTGCTCAAGAAGGACAGATGGACAATACTCAGTGTGTAATTCCTTTACTCTTATTTTTTTTCATCACTCCTGCCTTTCCCATTTTCTTCTTCTCCATTTTAAAAAGGACTCCTCATTCTCATTCCCAGCTTTTGTTTCCCTGACCCCCCATGGCTGGAGCTGTCTGTGCCTTTGTCCCCCATCCCTGCTTTTCCTCTCCCACCCCACTGAGCTCATTTCAGCTATTCCTTGGCTTGGAGTAACCCATCCACTCTGTTGTCCTCCAACAAATAAGCTGACAGGCTAATGAATAGCTTCAGATGGTAATTAGCAACGGAGTTGCTAATAATGAATTTCATTTACATTTTAAGCGCTGCAGAGGGAAAATAAACCCCTGTCATTAATGCCCTCCCTGCTCCCAGCACAGCCTTGGCCTTGGGGGGAATGCACCCTCTGGAAGCCTTGCTGTGATTGCACCTCTCCCTCCTCCATTTCGGAGGCTGTGATAGGCAGAGTTCATTAAGCAGCAATTAGTGATGGAGGGGGGGAGAAGCTGCTGCTGCTTCCATCATTTGATGGTGGGGAAGCGCCACAGTGCCATGGAAAATGGGCCACGGGAGGCAGGAGCTGGTTCTGGGCCAGGAAAGAAGGGCTGGATGCTTCAGCCAGCACCAGGGACTCACGTGGCTTGCCCAGAGCCCTGGAGCTGTCAGCCCTCCGTGTCCATGCAACCCTCCCAGGCTACCTGGATAGTGACCCTGAGGGATTTCTCAGTCCCTAAAATCCTTCCCCATTATTTCCTCAGGGGTTTAGCACATTTTGAAGGCAGGGCTTTCCCTGATGGGTTTAATTCATCCCTGCCTGCCCAAGGAAGGAACCAAGTGCCTTCTGCAGATTCCATGAATTGTTGTCAAATGGAAAGATGGAGAAATGTCATTGTTTTGTCTCATAGCGGTGAGGAATTCACGGTGGGAGCACAGGGAATAGGTTTGCTCACTACTGCAGAGCACCAGAAGGGAGTTGGGAATGCTCAAAGCCTGGATCTGGTGCTGGGGGTGAGCCTGGGAGTGTTGCCTGCCCTGCCTCAGTTTCCCTCTGTGTGCCCAAGGAGCCTCAGGGAGGGTTAGACGGATTGGGAAACAATGCTACAGGGGTTTTCCTGCACACTTCTTGTGGATGGAGGATCCCATCTCATCCCACCCACAGACCCACCCAGACCCCAATCCAGTGTTTGGATCGGGGGGGGGGTGTCCTAAATCCACCCCCATTCAGGCAGTGGGATCCACAGAAAGCTTCTTTGGGGACCACAGGGATGTGGCATCCTCATCTCCCCGGATAGGAGGTGACAGCCACATCCTGCCTTCACCTCCACGGACATGGGATCGATTTATTTATATATTTATTTATTTTTTTCAAGCCCTGCTAAGAATGAAACCAATCCAGGGGCCTCCAGAGGCCGATAAGATTTGACTGCAAGTCAATACTCACATGTCTTTCCACTGTGCAATGATCCTCCCGGCCAGCGGGGCGGGAGGGGACAGGCAGGTGACAGGGGCGGGCACAGGGCCAGCCTGGGGCAGGGACGTCGCCTCTGCTCCGGGAAGGGATTGGGGGCAGGAAGGGGACATCTCCTGGCCTGTAACAGGGATTTTCTGGGGTTTGTTGCCAGTACATGTAATGGTGAGCCCAGAGTGGGCAGCTCCACGTTGGGAGGTGAATGAGGGACAGGGATGGGGAAGGAGGAGGAGCAGGGGAGAGGGAGAGAAATTGCCCGTGAAAACCAGCTCTGCCACGGCATCTGCTCCCCGGAGCTTTGGGAATTGAGAGGTTTCCCTGCCGGCAGAGCCGGGGCTGAGGCTGCAGGGTGCTGGGGGGAGCAGAGCCCTGGCACACTCGATTCCCACTCGATGCCATCTGCCAGGCTTTCTCCTGGCTGCGGGTTCCAGTGGCTTCTCTCATGGCTTCTAAGGGTCGAGCTCAGACTCCAAAGTACTTCCCGAAGTACCTGCTGCATCTTTGTGCCATCCCTGGCCACAGCGTGGCTGGGATTCCGCATCCCTCTGGGAATGCTGCAGGGCAGGCAGGGTGACATTTGCAGTTAGCACAGGGTGTCCTTGAGAGGAGCGAGCGCCGAGAGAAGGGACCAGGTTCTCTTTAAGGGGGCAGGACTTTGGGAACATTATGAAGGCAAGAGTGAGCTTCTCCCTCTGCCTTCCACCCTCCCCTCCTTCCCTTCTCTGTTCTGGGACAGAGACCCGAGATCCTCTGCCTGGCAGGGATGAAGGCAGGAACTGGGTGCTGGGATGGGCGGCTGAGCAGGGGAGGAGGAGGAGGAGGAGGGGAGGAAGGGGAGGGAGAGGGGGAGGATCTGCTAATTACACAGAACAGCTCTGGGGGCTGCTGAAGTCCAGAATGAAGCAAAGAGCAGCAGAAGCGAGTGCTGCAGTGGGAGCGGAGGAGCCCAAGCATCACCGAGAGCTGGAGCCGGCTGTTATCTCTGCTGGGAACAACTGGGAGCACCCAGAGGATCCTGCAGCCCTGTCTCCCACAGGAGACAGCCTCTGGCACTGCCACCGAGCCCGCTGCCAGCCCCTGGAGAGCCGAGGAGAAGGGGCTGGTGGCTGCAGCACGCAGGGCTGGGCTGGAGGGCAGCGAGGTCAGCCCTGCTATGGCCGTGGGGGGCTAGGAGCCTGCGTGCATCCACCGGGAAGAGGTGAAGGATGGCTGCTGAAGGAGAGAGAGCCAAGCCCCTTGCCCAGTCCAGGATGGAGAACTTCCGAAAGGTGAGGACCTCGGAGGAGGAGATGCCATTACCCTTCCCAGATCTGCCCCCAGACGTGGTGGAGATGAAAGTGAAGGAGGGCAGCAAGATCAGGAACCTGATGAACTTCGCCATGGCCCAGATGGAGCTGAAGGGCAGGCGGCAGATCGTGTTCAGCGGCTGCGGCAGGGCGGTCACCAAGACCATCACCTGCGTGGAGATCATGAAGCGCAAGCTGGGAGGGCTCCACCAGGTCACCAAGGTACGCTACAAGACCGTGCTGGAGGTCTGGGAGAGCCAGGACCCGCCGCTTGATGGACCTGCACAGAACCTGACTGTCCACAAGAATGTCCCCTCCATCTGCATCCTGCTCTCCCGGGACCCCCTGGATCCCAACCAGAGCGGATACCAGCCCCCCGAGCCCCGGCACGAGGCAGGAGAAGACACATTGGGATCCTCCAGCAAGGGGCTGAAGCGGCCGCTGCCGCCTCCCTGCGAGGAGCTGCTGCCCAAGAAGCTGCAGGTACAGGAGTCTGACAGCCCCAGGGGCACGGGGACCACCGCTGGCCAGCAGGACCCCTGACCCCAGTGCCTCCCACCCCACCTGCCAGGTATGGAGGCAGGAATATCCACTCATTCTGGGGTCACTGGTGGGCTGCAGGCTCCCCCTGACCTGTCCCCACTTGCTGCTCCTTGACCCCTGTGGATGGGGGTCCCCAGATTTGGCGTGAGGGTTAAACCCATCATGTCTTGGTTATGGATTGAAGCAGGTGAGCATGTGGGGGGGAGAGCTGGTGACCTCTGATTCAGCCACCCAGGGACACTGTGACCACCAGCCACATCCTGCAGTGACTCCCAGGGAGCCAGAGCAGCCGAGGGGTGCCTGGACCACCACCACCGCTCCCCACTGCAACGCCTCATCCATCAGGAGAGATGGGTTTGCCCCAAGCTTGTTGGAATAAAACCTTCATTATCAAACCCGCTGCTGCGGAGCTGTTGGAGTTATTAATGCCAGGCTCAGCATCCTGTGAGACTGTGATTCATCCCAAAAAAACAAGCACAGGGGGTGCTCCCTCCTGCACCCTCAGAGCCGAGCACTGCACTGTGCTGCCTGCCTGTGGGACAGCACAAGGAAATAAAACAACCCACATTGGATATTCTGGTCTGGAGTGGGGGGAAACCATGCTGTGGGGAGCTGGGGGCAGTGGGATGTTGGGTAGGGGGTTATTGTGACTGGATGCAGTGCCCAGCACAGGATGAGGAGGTTTTGGGGTCGTGCCTTGGCTGCCAAGTGCTTCGGAGCAAAATCCCTGCTACTTCCTTGGGGTAAAGAGAAATGAATGGAAAATAAAAGCTCTTTAGAAATAGTTGAGATATGTCTATGGGAAAATGGGGGGATCATCTTGGCTGCTGGCTGTGACATGGATCAGCACAGTGAAGGCTGCTGCCAGCTCACAACAAGGGGATCCCAGCCAAACTCTGTCCCTTGAAAGAATGGGACTGGGGTCTCCTGTGCCGGCACAGCAGCACCTGGCAAAGCCCCAGTTCCAGTGGGGACAGGGGAGATTTGGGGGACAAGTTATGGGATGCCAAGCCCTGATCCACCTGGTTCCCTCTGCCCAGCAGCACTGCAGGATGAATTAATCGGTATTAGGAGCAAACCCTTCCCAAAATCCTCATGTGAGGGATTCTCTGGCTGCAGCTGCCTTATCTCCCTGCCTCACTCCCGCTCTACAGGGACAGTCAGCGTTCTCTCTTTGTCAAGGGCTTGCTTGGCTGGGAGCAGGAATGAAAGGAGAGGAGGAGGAAGAGGAGGAAGCAGGGTCTGTTTTGTGAGGCGGTGACCTTGTTATCTCCCTCAGCAGGCAGCTGCTCCTCGGGCCAGAGGCTCATGCTTATCTGTCCTACTGCAGATTGATTCCTTTCACTCGAACGTTAATTTCCAACTGGTTTTTTATGTTAATGATCATTTTTTGTTGGGTTTGGGGATGGTAAAGCTTTGGGCTCTGTCCCACCCAGTTCTTCCCAGTTCCTTTCTCCAGTGCCGACCTCATTCAGGATCAACCCTCCACCCCACACAGTAACACTGGGTACAGGCACCTACCCCAAATGCATCAAAAATCACTAATAAAATTAATTTCAAACCCTGTAATTAATAAATCCCTCTGTAAACACCCTGATCAGAGCCTGAAGACTGAGAGCCGCACAGTTAAACACTAACAGCCCTTCACCTCCACTGCTGCCACCTCACATTTCTCTGAGCAAGGGAAAAAAAAGAATAAAAACCACTTATTTCTCCTTATTTTGTTAATTCACAAGATGTTTTTAATGGATTTCATAGTCAGGTAGTTTCCAATCACAGAGGCAGCACTGGGGATCTTACCCTCATTGCTTTGCTGCCTGATGGCTTCCTACATGAGAAAATAATAAAAAATTACTGAAAAAAAAAATTAAAACAGGGTGACGACACCGGGGGACATAGTGAGTGGAATAATCACGATAGTTTTGTGGTTTTGTGCAGCACTGCTAAGGCACAGCCCCAGGGACGAGTTTTGGAGCGATTTCGTGCCCGGGCCGATGCGATGGCGGCTGAGGGGAGCAGTCCCCGGTGAGGGGACAGGAACACCCTCAGAGAACCGGAGCTGGCAGCTGAGCCGGTCTGAGCCCACTCCCCTCACAGGGACCGAGTGCGGCGGCTGTCCATTGACAGGGCCGGGGAGACTGCGCGGACTCAGCTAAATGGGGACAGCAGCAGCGCAAACCCCTGATAAACGAGCTCAAACATTCCTGAAAACCGCCTCGGCGACCAGAGGGACCCCGACGACCGCCCCCCTCACGCACAAAATGGCGGACAGCCCCGCCCCAAGATGGCGGCGGTCCCACCCCGCCGCGCCTCCTGTCCGTCCCCGCCGCGCCCCCAGCCCGTCCCCGCGGCCTCCCGCCCTTCCACGCGCCCGCTCCGTCCCCGCCGCGCCGCCGTACCCGCCTCAGCGGCCCCCCCCGGGCCTCACCTCCGTCCCTCCTTCCCGGTGCGGTGCGGGAGCCAGCGGCGCGCGCCCCCGGTTGCCGGTGCTGTCTCCCCCCTTCACAGCCCGCCGCCATGCTGGCCGCCAGCGCCTCTCTCCTCCGCCGCTGCGCCGTCTCCGGCCTCCGCGCCGCCGTCCGCCGGCCCGCCGGCCCAGCAGGTGAGCGGCCGCACTCGTCTCCGTCCCTGCCGCCGCGGTTGGCGCCCGGGTTCCCGGTGCGGCGGGGAGCGAGGCCGCGCGGCCCGGCGCGTCCTTGCGGTGACCCCGCGGCCTAGCGCGGGCCGCCCCCGCCGCTCCGGCCGCCGCCACCGGGACTCCCCCGCCGCCACCGCCTCAGCGGGCACCGAGCACCGCCCGGGGGCTGCGGCGAGGGGCGGCGGCGCTTTCCCTGCGCCCCCCGCCAAGGTGACATTGATGGAGGGCGGCGGTGACCTCCGCAACACCGGGGCGCCGGCCAGCCCTGGCTCCGCGGCAGCTCCGCGCCAGCCCTCACCCTCCTAATTAACACCCCATTTAATTATATTTATTATATTAACGCCCCAGCTAATAGGGAGAGTAGGAGGCCCAGCCCCAGGCAGCGTTCTGTGATGGTGGCCAGGGTGGCAGGGCTGGAGGACGGAGGCTGCAGAGAATGCACTGCTTGTGTCTCGCAATTAATAACTAATTAACCTCTTCATCGCAATTAATACCTAATTAGCAGACACTAGTAATGCTCGGAGACTTGTGTGTGCCTCTGCTGCGGCACGTGTGAGTTCAACGACTGCCGTAGGGAACTTGTCACTGCGTCTTTTTAAATAATAAGCACAGGATTTCTTAGGTGCTGCTCATCACCTTTGATCTTTTGTTATTTTAAATCCACTAAAATCTTTGCTCGCTGTTCCTTTGAGCTGCCGAACCCCGGCTGCTCCTGGGCCTTGTTTCCAGGAGGCTCTGCGTTCTTCTTTTCCAAGCTCTTGTGTTTCAAACACCCCACTTAACACTGCTGCCACCCTTTTGCAGAGGGGTTCTGTGGCTGCAAAACCTCCCCTGGGCTCCTCGTTCTCAGATTTTCAGTAAATTAATGTTTTTCTGCACATGTGCTCATTGCTGGAGAAAACTGCCCAATTCTGGCCCTCACAGAGAAGCTTTAACGTGTTTTTGTGTCATATTAGGTAATTTTAGGCTTAATTCCTGTTAAGTTCACTTTAAAGCAATGGTGCTTGCCTTTTGGATTTTCTTTTAGCTGGGGATCTCTGCCTGGATAGGTTGGCTATCACACAAACGTCATGTGTGTGACAGTGACCTTGATGGACCCTGCTGAAACTCAGGCCACAGGGACTCTGCAGGTACAGAAATAAACATTAATGTGGAAAAGAAACATAGCAGCAATTGAGAAACACACCCTGGAAAGGCAGAGCTTTAATTCTTATAGTCTGTATTTGCCTCCTGGATCCAGGGAATGTTTTTGTTGAGGAAAGACTTCAGATTTTGACTTAAAAATGGTATTTGAGTGCTTCAATTTAGGCTTTTCTCCAGCTGAGATTTGCCGGTTTTCTGCAGGAATTTTTTTTTTTTTCTGTGTGAGAAAAATAAGGATTCTCCTTCAACCAGCAGAAACCTGGAGGGTTTCCAGCAGTGTCCTGGGAGCAGGAGCATTTCCAGAGCCCTGCTCTTGCTCTGAGCTCAGCTGTGCAGGTGATTTATTGCAAAGAGCAGGGTCAAAGGTCTCCTTTGGAGCTTGGGGAAAGGACGGGGAATTTCCCTACAAGGAACCAAAAGAGCATTTTAGTTCTGTCTTGGCCTGTTGTTTACTTTTAATAGCTAAAATAAATAAAGCTATTTTCATGCTTCCATTGCATAAACCAGCATTGCAGCTGAAATGTTGGACCAGGTTAAATTCTGTTAAAAAAACAAATTGCCTGCTAATTAAGCTGCCATTAATGAAACCAAAGAGAAATACATCAGCAAAAATACAGCCCTGTTGTGGTGTTGGGTTTTTTTGTTTTGTTTTTAAATAAAACCCTGTAGCTGATCGCTGTGAGTGGTTCATGCTGGGTTAAGAAAGAAAAAGTCAGGAGCTAAATTTGTCTTGTGTGGAGCAGAGCTTTGAGCTCCAAGGTCGTATCTGGTGAGTGACCTCTCTGCAAATATTAGTGGAGTGAGATTAGCTGTGGGGAAAGGAAGCACCAGGCTTGTAGTTCCCTTAGAAAACTCTTCCAACCTTTGTGGGGTAAAAAACCACAGGTTCATCCAAAAAAACCAAAATTTGTGATAGTGCTGAGTGAAGAAAAAATGATCCTGTCTGACTAATTTGTGCATTGGCATACAATCTGCTTTTGTGATTAGTTATCAAATATTAATGCAATATTTTTTCCAAGTTTTTCTCTTGGATAGATATCTTGTGATAGTTTTTTTCCTCCTCTAGCCCTTCTGTTGGAAGGAATATCTCTCCTCCCTTTGCTTTTGAGAGCCTCTCTAGGAATTGCATGGAATTTTGTCGGTGAGGAATGTGCGTGTTACAGCTTCTCAGTCTCACTTGGCTGTGGGAAGAGGGAGAATTCCTGTATTTTACAGAAAAAGGAATGCCAGAAAACCTCTTCAGAGTAGGTTTTTGTGTGTCTTTGCCCTGCTCTGACCAATGCTCTGGGAACACTTTGATATGGAAAAAAGCAGACACTTTGCTACAACATCAACCACGATATTAAATAAGATATTTAATAAGTTACATCCACCCAGGGTTCATCCACAACTCACTGTAACAAGGGCAATCCATATTTGATGGCTGCTGGCCTCTTGGTCAGGACTGAAGCAGTGTTCTGTTCCTTTTGCTCCAAGTTTGTTCCTTTTTTCCTGCATCCAGCTGTGCTTCCTGCCCGCTGCTACTCTCACGGGGGGTCACAAGAGTCAGATGAAGAATTCGATGCTCGCTGGGTGACGTATTTCAACAAGCCAGATATCGATGCCTGGGAGCTCAGGAAAGGTAAGCTGGACACCAGGGAAGCATAACCTGAAGTTTTCTAACCAGAAATAACAACTTTAATTGGTGTTTTGTGGATTCCCCATCCCTGGAAGTGTCCAAGGCCAGGGCTTGGAGTGACCTGGTCTAGTGGAAGGTGTCCCTGCCTGTGGTGAGGTTTGTAGGAGTCTTAAAATGAGGGAAGAGA